TGTCCAGGTCATACTGTATTGGTGCAATTTAAAGCTGTTTTTGCTTTTCTTTGTTTGCACTTTTTCAAATTCATATGATGACATTGCCAGGAGCATATTCATACTTACTGGTAATGACCCGATATTTTGCTTCGATATTAAATTATTCATTAATGTATTAATGCAATTGCACATTCTCTGTTATATATTACTGTCTGCTAGGCAATTTTCTTTGAGCCACGGGAACAAAAATAAATGCAAGATGGGACCTGCTCACAAGATAATGAGAATAAGATAGGTTTTATTTTTTAAAAAGAGGCAGTTTTTATGGCGGTGGCCATGGTAGGAGTTATCAATGATAGGATATTTATAATGCTAGGAACTGGCACTTAGGCAAATGTTTACAGAGTTTGACTTGTTGCCACCATCAGTCCACAGCCAGGCAGTGATGTGAATCCCGAGAGTCTTGGGCTGAAGATGTGCTGTGCAGGGGGCTGTCACAGAGTCTGGCATCTCAGACAGTCCCTGCGGGAGCTGTGTGCCCCAAGATCACATGTGAGGGTCTGGTACGTCAGAAGAGTCCCTCGCCTCTAACTTAGGTTTTAGATGAATACTTTAGTCTGGGTCTAGATCATAAAGTTATAGTGATTGGGATTTGTCTCCTTCTTCATACCACCACACCACAAACAGCTGCTCTTACCACACCGGGTTTCTAACCCGCATTTCCCCCCAGCTATGATCGCCTCGCGACCTTCTCTGTGCTGAGAAGAGAGCTGAATGCCAGTTTTGAAGTGAGCAACATTTCCCAGTTTCAAAGGTAAGTTCCATTTTCCAAGTCAACACTTCATAGACTTGATGTTATCTGTGCTACTACTCAGGATGCCCAGGTGTAATTCGGCGGATGCTGGAAGTCCATGTTACTAAGCATCATTTTGTTTTTGAAAAAATGTAGATAATTGTGTTTAAATATTATAAAATTGAGTATTATATTCAACTGTATATCTATACTTATGTGCACTGACATGAGATTTTTAAGCACAAGAAAGTCAACATACTTTTTTCCTTTTAAGTTTAGCTTTAGTTCAGTGTGAATTTGGTTAATGGTTACTGATTGGGTTCATATGTACAGTGACGATACTGCCTGACTCACCTGTCTGGGCTTGTGCTTTACTGTCATAGTAAGTATGAATAGCTCCCTCTTTCTCTCTCAGAATAGTCCCAATTCAGATAGTAAATTTAACATTTACTCTATTTGTGCAGCTGCTGTTTCATGGTTAGAGTCTGACGTACGGGTGAATGGGGCATAATTGGTGTTGATGGGCACTGTCCCCATATTACTCGTCAGCGTTGGCCCACGTTTAATGCTGTGCTTGGCCCAGAGCAGGCACTTGGTAAATATTTACTGAATGAATATCAAGAGCAGAGTCTGCATTTTCTGGGGTCCTGAGTGTTTTATTTTTCCCTTATATTCATGTAGCAGGAAACTCTACCTTACTTTATTATCTAGTCAATCATATTACTTTGTAGACTCATTGGTGGATTAGATAATTAGTAAGTAAGATGTTAATTACCAACACAACAGATACGGGCCCCAGAGAAGGTCACCAGCTGCCCAATGATCAGGGCTGGGAGGACAGTAGCCTCAGCTGTGGTTTCTGCAGCATTGAGACCATGGTGGGGGGAGGGGAGGGACCACTGCGGGGGAGGGGGGAGCTGCCCTGCAGGACATCCCGACAGAAGACAGCACCTAAAGCCACGCAGGGCAGCAGCATCTGGGGCACCTGGCCAGAGTCTGGGAGGTTCTGCAGCATCATCCAGGCATGAGAAAGACAGGCTGGAGCTGTGCTGAAGGGGCGGGGCATAGA